CCTTGACTTCTTTCCTTTTCCCACCTTCCAGGCTCTGCCAGTGCCTCCCACTGGCCAAGCCTACAAAAAAGCCAGAGGGCAGGGAGCCTGAGAAATGTATTTCCTTGGAAACACAGCAGGTCGGGGCAGAGCAGAGCAGGGATCTGAGAGCTCTCAGAAAAGTGACTGGCACATGCAGAAGATGGTATTTCAAGTTAGTGGGACAAGGATGCATTACTCCCTTGGTGATGTTGGGACAACTGCCTCCCCATTTCAGAAAAGAAAAATGAGAACTTCCCCTTACAATATGCACATAAGCTCTTCTTCCCTTTTGGCTCTTCCCCAGGCTTAGATTAGCTGCCCCTCCTCGATTAAGCCTCATCAAAGCACCTGTCACACTGCCTTGGACTTGTTACTCAGCAGTGGGCTCCTTGAGGGCAAGGACAACCTCTCAATTGTCTTTGCACTCCCCTGCCTACCACCGTGCCGGGCACAGGAGTTGGCACTTAAATATTTATTGAATGCATTGATATCTAATTTTCTTTTCAATCTGACCAGTATTAGTTGAACACCTGCTGTGTGCTTAGCACAGGGGAGGGTATGAAAACATGTGACATGACCGTCTCTGTTGCTACAGAGCTCACTGTGTCGCTGGGAAGGCAAGATGTGTACACAAGGATGTCTCAGGCAGTGCGGTTCTGAGGAGGTCTTAGGATTTTCCCGATGAGTGCATTTGCTGCCTGAAATAGAAGCCAAGACAGATGGGAAGATGTAGCAGATGGGCAGCAAGCAGAGAGGCAGTAGTCCTGGATTGTGTCCCAGGCTCAGCCAGTTACCCACGGTGTGACCCGGTCACCTCATTCCCCTAGCGAGCCCCACTTCCCCATGTGCAAAGTGAAGAGGTTGGACTAGGGCAGTGGGGCTCAGCGCTGGCTGCCCACTGGACTTAGAGATCAATGGTGATGTCGTTGGTCTGGGGTAGGGTCTAGGCATGGATATTTTTCAAAATCTTCCCTGGTGATTTTTTTTTTAATCAATTTTATAAAGATACAAGTTAGTATCATACAATTCACCAATTTAAATGGTACAGTTCCATGGTTTTTAGCATTTTCACAAAGTTGTACAGCCATCGCTACAATCTAATTTTAGAACCTTTCCACCGCCCCTGAAGAGACCCTGTATCATTAGCAGTCCCTTGCTGTCTCCCCCGATCCTCCCCAGTCCTAGGGAACCACAAATCTACTTTCTGTCTCTACGGTCTTGCCTATTCTGAACATTTCCCATAGACGGAATCATGCAACACGTGGCCTTTTGTGTCTGGCTTTTTCATTCACTGTGACATTTTTCAAGGTTCTTTTATGTCCTAGCATGGATTAATATTTTGTCCCAATTCATGGCTGAATATTATTTCACTCTATGGCTACACCACATTTTATTTATCCATTCATCAGTTGATGGACATTTGGGTTGTTTCTACCTTTTGGCCATTACGATTAATGGGGCTACGAATATTCAGGGACAGGTTTTTGTGTGGACATATTTTCATTTCTCTTGGGCATATATATCCCCAGGAGTGGAATTGCTGGGTCGTGTGGTAACTCTGTGTTTAACTTTTTTGAGGAACTGCCAGGTGTTTTCCCAATTCTGCATTCCCACCAGTGGCATGTGGGAGTTCCCCTGGTGATTTTAATATTTGTCTGGGGGTATAAAACCACCAAATAGAGGGTCTCCATTTTCTGTGATTTCTTATCTAGGAATAGCTCCCCAGAACTGCCCCCAGAAGCCCATGTCACCCAGAACTTGACTGAGCTGTAGACTGTATGGGACAGTTAGCTTCTGAGAGCACCCTCATCATTCCTGGCCTTATTCTTGAGAGAAAGCCCCGTTGAGTTCTCTGTTCCAGCTCAAGACCCTCCCTAGTTCCTGCCCTGCCCTGGTCACAGTTCTGGCAGGATTATTCAGAATAATTATACCATTTTATACCAGTTATAATATTTAATAAAGAATGACATAGTAATGTTATTAATATAATACTAATTACTGGGGCACATGGGTGGCCCAGTCATTGAGTGTCTGCCTTTGGCTTAGGTCATGATCCCAGGGTCCTGAGATGGGGCCCCTCATTGGGCTCCCTGCTCACCGGGAGGCCTGCTTCTCCCTCTCCCATGCCCCCTGCTGGTGTTCCCTTTCTCACTGTATCTCTGTCAAATAAAAAAATCTTAAAAAAAAAAGAAATACATAAATATAATACTAATTACTATAATACCATAATAACAAATGTTGTTGATATTATTATAACATTTAAAATATCCCATTATTCAGTACGCAATACATTTTGATTGAGCATGCTGGGGACCCAGGATCACAGAGGGGAGAGGCTCTGGTGGTATTAGGCAGGGCAGTAAGAGTCCCCTACCCTCCCCAGGTTTGCAGAGCTATGCCCACCCCTAATATAGACAAAAAAGTCCTGTACGACATAGCCCTTGCTAATAGAATGGGAGTGGGGCCTTCCCCTGAAAAAATGAAGAGAAGAAATTAGATCTGATTTGATTTTTCACTGATGTTTACTAACAGGGCACTTTCTCCCCTCCTCTAAGCCCCAGTGTAACACAAGGCATCAGCAGCTTTCTTGCAGGGTAACTGCGAAAGTTGAACCTGAAAAGCCTAGCACAGTGCTGGGCACACTGGCAGCGCTCTCCTTCTGCACCAGAGTTCTTCTCAACTGCCAGCCTGTGGAAGCAGAGGCTGAAGCCTACGTAGCCCTTCTCCATCACCCTCTGAGAACCAGGACTTGTGGCCTTCTTTCCAGAATGCCAGCAGCTCATGAACGTCCATCTCTGTTGACCATGAACACAGAGCTGGTCTCATTTCCTGGACTTTAACTAATGGTCCCAAGGCTTTGGGGCTGCTGGGTGCTGCTGGACCCTCTGGTGGACTTGACCTTCTCTGAGGTGCCTGGGAAGAGGGCAGATTCACAACTCTCATGGATGCCATTTACATCATAGTCGATACGAATGGCGTCTCCTAGACTTCTGCAGGGAAGGGTCCGTGAGGCCATGAGCAGTGGTTTCCTTAACAGACCCACAACTCTACAAAACTCCATGAATTACGATCTCTGGGATGGTGATCCCTTCATGTGCATGAGCTGAGAGAGTTCCCAGGTCCTCCCACTCCTGCTTAGAAACCTTTGTTCTTCTAGAGACCCTCACCTGACAAGATTTAGGCAGCTTCTCTGACCCTCATCTATTTCTCTTCCCGTTTGTCTTGCTCTGTCTTCCGCATAAGTAGCTGTGAGAGGAAAATCACACATGCATATTTTATTTGACATGTTATTAAATGCAATTTATCACTCCCTCTATATATATTTATTTCCCTGTTTAACTTCTCACTCTGGGTTTCCTTGAAATAAAAAATCACACACTTTTAAACTTGGAAAGACAAGTACATGACACCAGCGCTCTAGTCCAAGTCCGTGGCAGACATCACTAATCAATCACAACACTCTTTCCTCCTGAGCTGGGCACAACCTCAGAATTCTTCTCAATCTTGCTTTCCAAGCAAAGGGTGAGAATCACTTGGAGCTGGCATAGGAGATGGTGACTATTTGCCATTCGTCAGGAGGTCTTACTCAAAGCTTTCCAACTCCACCTCCAGCCCTAAACGTACACCAGATCTCTGCTATAAGGCATCTTTCCCCTTGGGTGTTCATTCTCGCATTCAAGGTAATTCAAGATGAGCCCCAAATTGGGCAGTCCCTCCAGTCCTCCTAGGCTAAAGGGAATTTTCTCTCTTCTGAGCTCCAAGTCTCTGTGCCTCCTTAGGACAGATGTTGTTTTCAACATATACGAGAGACAGGAAAATAATGCCAGCGGGCTTTGGAGTCCACGTAGCTGTTCTCAAATCCCAGATCCACAGCTTCGTCAATCCTTCTGACTTCCCTCCCGCCCTCGCTTCCTTCCTTTCATCAAAAATGTATGGAGTACCTACTGTGAACCAAGCAAAGAAGCAAAGTTCTATGCGTCTATAAAATGGGATGTTTTATGTAAAATAGCTAGCACACTACCTGGGAGAAAGCAAGTACTAGATAAGTAGTTGGGAGAAAGGAGGATTTTCAGACCTAGAAATGCTCCCAGAATCACCTGACCCAGCTGGTGTTGCAGAGGAGGAAACCAAAGCCCAGAGCAACTGTCCAAGGTTCCCGCACAGGCTGGGGAAGAACTAAGGCTGGAACCTGGGCATTTCAACTTCAACTCAGCACACTTTTTGTTGCCCCCATTACTGGCTGCCTGCGGGAGCGGGATACCCTGGGTTACGTTTCCTGTTGGGAGAGGTGAGGCTGGGCTGTGACCCCCTGAAGCCAAAGTCACACCTTATTCCACATCCTTACACACACGTACACGATGCAAGACCGGCCCCAGGGAAGCGGAGTCTGCCGGAGGCGGCCAGGGTGGACAGGAACTTCCCCCTCGCTGCTGCTCTGGGGACAGTGGGCTGGAGGAGACAGTATAGGCAGGAACTGCAGTTCGGATTCTAAACAGAAGATGACATGGGCTTCCAGAAGGGCAGTTTTAATAAAAACAGAGAGAACAATTGAAATTACAGGTGTCATAGGGGTCACCTTAGCAAGTGTCTCCTGTGTGGTATGGTGATTGGGAAGAAGAGAAAGGGACTCCAAGACATCCTCTGGTCACAATCTTTTCGTGGGATGGCTAGCAAATTATTTGCTAGTATTGCTTTTGATTTCCTCCTCCCATTTGAGGGATGTCTTTTCTTGAACGAAAGTTGTTTAACTTCAGAGTAAGATTTCCTTCAGGTTTCGGGTCTCTGATAAATACAGATTTCCCCTCTCCACTTTTTCTCTGAACGCCGTGATGCCCCTGTGTCCTGTTTTGCAGTGACCCCGCGGATGCTTGTTGAACCTATGTCTCTTGGTTTTTAATGGTCAGAACATCTTTTAAAGTACACACAGGAATATCAAGACCCTTGACTTTTCTAAATCCTGACTTTGACACCCTCCACAGCTACCCGCTCCCTTCCCCAGGGCTCAGCAGCTCAGACCGGCTGCCTTTCGGCGTCGAGGAGAATGGGGTCCCCAGCCGAGCCTCAGCCAGGCACCATCACCACCACCACCAGCACCAGCACCAGCACCACCCGAACTATGGCCTCTCGCTGACTCTGGAGAACAAGGAGGGGCCTTCCAGGTCTCCAAACTCCAGCAGTAAATCCCTGACAAGTAAGTAGGGTTGCAAAGGGCAGGGTGAGAGGGAGGGATGCTGCAGGGCGTGGATGGCTTCCCCAGATCCTCGAAACAGACCCTTTCTGTGTAGCAATGAAAGGCAGGAAAGGCAGTGCTGGGTTGCCAGGTTGGGGCAGGAGAGGACAAGCGCCTTGTTCATTTCGTTAGGAGCCGCTGAGAGATTACGGTTTATCAGGAAACTCCGGCTGGATTTCAACGTAGCCGTTCTCTCTCTGCCTCATTCCCAGCAGTTCCTACTTCCACTGGCTCAAGTAATAGAAAGAGGAGGGGAGCCAGGAGGCTAGAATCTCTACGTTTCCGAATTACAGGAAAACCTATTCTGTCCCATTTCTGGCATCCCTCGTCTGAGAGCAGGGTGATGGGAGGGAGGACCAGTGTACCCGGTTTCAGATTCTGGCGAAAGGAGGTATGGAAACGGAGAGCAGGCACTTAAAAACATTTTTAGCAATAGGCCAGAGTGATTTTACATCCATTAAAACCAATAAAAAATGGGCTTGGATTTTGTAGGTCTATTATTTGTTTTTTTTTTAGAAACTCCCTTTTATTATGCTTTACCAAATAATTAATCTGTGACAGACCAGAGGGGGAGGAGCCACTTCTCTCACATACAACGTGCAAAAGCCCTGAGCTAGAGGAAGGAGTCAAGACACTTTGATTTATGGTCTTTGCTCTTGACCCGTGTTCCCTCTTGGACCTTTAGCTTTCTCGTCTATGAAAAGGGGTAGAGGGTGTCTAGTGCATGGCCAAGGAATCTTCCAGCCCTGACATTTCATGAGTCTGTGCAGCGGTGAAAGGATGAGCTGATGAGCCTTTCACTGTAGACCACAGGGAACAATTCTGGGTTGGCTGAGTCAAAAATGGAAATTCATCATTCACGGGGCATTGATGAATCAGAACTCTATCCCCTCCTCACTATCCACACTGCCCTTCTAGAACCATGTCTCATCCTTTTGTATCCAGATAACTCTAACAGCCCCCTAAAGGATACGTCCTCTAATACAGTCATCATCTTATGGCTGCCAAAGTGAGGTATCTCGCCACAGCTCTGACTAAATGCCTTGAGTCCTTTCAGTGGTGTTTCACTGACCTGAGATAAAGCCCACACTCCTGAGCATGGCCACACGCAGACTTTCCCAGCCTGGCCCCTGCCAAGGTATTCAGTCTCCCCCGATTCCTCACTACACTCTGGCCACATGAAACTCCTTTCACCAATGGCTGAGCTGCATTCCTAGTGCATCCTTCGCACCTGCTGTTCCCTCTGCCTGGAATGCAGAACTCATTTCTTCAGGAGCCTGCTCAGATATTGTTAGCAGAACCTTCTCTAACGTGCCTTTCCGATTCCTGGCTTTAGAGTGCCTTCCCTTTTGCCTCTTTAGCAATTAACTTTTACTATCTGCACACGTCTCTGTCTTTCGTATCTACACGTGTCTCTGTCTCCACCACTAGCCTAGAATTGTGCCTCATTTATCTTTTTATTCCAGCTGCCCGAATCTCAATTGCAAACGATAACTTGGCTTAAGCTTTCGTATGTAATGAATACTTAATAATTAATGACTATTTCACTGTATTAATGGATAAATACGAGCCAGTGGAAGGGGTGATGGCAAACTAATCCAAAATAGTACAGAAATTAAAATCAATGCATTTGGTTTTCAAGGGCACCTTCCTATGCCTGTGAGCCCCAGTAGTCAACTTTCTAATTTGCATAGTGTTTTGCCATTAATAATGCATTTGTATGTAAATGACCTCCCCTAATCTTTACAGCAACCCTGCAGGGTAAGTAGTTTTATTTTCATTTTAAAATAGCTCAGAAGCTCAGAGAGACAGAGTGACTCGCCCAAGGCCTCCCAGCTCATACCTGGGGGAGTTAGACGTTGAAGCCTTGATCTTAGGTGTTCTCACAGCCCACCAGCTGGAGCATAGTCAAGGGATTTAAGGCAAGGGGGAGGCAAGCAGAAGGGTGCTGGGGATCAGGCTCTGGTAAGCATCTTTTATCACAGCTCTCTCTGTCCATTCCACCTTTCCTTATTCTTCCTCCCCTCCCCCCGCCACTTGTAGAACTGAGTCCAGGACCACCTGCCCTGTTCAGCGAAGCTGCAGCCCATCTAAAGAAGCTGGAACTGGAGACGGTGAAGGCCCCTGGACCCTGGCCTGCTCTGCACATCAACATCAACAAGGTACCGAGGACCAGGGCTGGGTGATGGGTCTGGACGGGCGACTGGCGGCAAACCTCTGGTTCTTCCCCTGGCCTGCCTCCTAGATCATGTGCCTTGGTCTTGGAGGGATTTCTATTCAATTGTTCCTGGCATTTCTGCGGAGTCTCTTAAGAGCAGAAATGTACTTACGTTCTTTTTGGCTGAATGACAGCACAGGGCGTTTCTCTCGGTGCCGAGGCGAACAGGCTGGCTCCGTTAGGGATCTCTCCCTCCTTCTAGACATAAAGCTCCATGAGGAGGCGCCCACATTTGCCTCTTCCCGTGTTTACCCATCCGTATTAGTCTGTTCCGGCTGCTGTAACAAAATACCGTAGACAGGGTGGCTTAAACAATAGATATTTATTTTTCACTGTTCTGGAGGCTGGGAAGGCCAAGATCAAAGTGTCAGCCAGTTTGGTTCCCTGGTAAGGGCTCTCTTCCTGACCTGCAGATGATTGCCTTCTCGTTGTACCCGCACCTGCAGAGAGCGCTCAGTCTTTCTCTTTCTCCTCCTCCTCCTCTTCTTCTTCTTTTTAAGATTTTATTTGTAAGTAATCTCTATACCCGGTGTAGGGCTCAAACTTACAACCCTGAGATCAAGACTCGAATACTCTACCAACTGAGCCCCTCTCTTCTTTTGAAGCCACTAATTTGATCATGAGGGCCCCATCCCATGACCTTGTCTAAATCTCTTCACTTCCCAAGGGCCCCATCTCCAAATGCCATCCTGTGGGGTAGGGTTACCACCTATGAATTCCGGGGTGGTGGCCAGGGACTTGATTCCATCCAGAGCATCTGACAGTACCTAGCACATAGTAGAAGTTCAGTACTTGTTTTCTGATGGAAAAAAGGGAGGGATTGAGGCAGAAGGGAGAGAGGGAAAGAGCCACAGCAAAACTCTCCTTTGGTTAGACCTGTTCTTCTACCCAAATGAGCAGCCTTATGGAAGCCAAATTTTATCTTAGAACTATAGAATGTCCCGGCTGGATTCAAACTACCATTTAGCTCAGCTTTCTTACCATCTGAGCCCAGAGGAAGGGAAATTACTTTCTCGAGGTTGCACAGGAGGGGCCGAGTCCTGGGGCCCCTGACTTCTGGCCCAGTGCCCTCTGCGCTCCAGCGTGCCACTCTGTTTTGCACACCAGAGTTTCTCGACTTCAGCATGACAGACATTCTGGGCTGTGAGTGTCGTGGAGGAGCTGTCGGTTGTGTGTGTTGTTGGATGCGTGACAACATCCCTGGATTTCACTCGCTAGTCCCAGGAGAACCCCCATCCAGGTGCAACAACCAACTTCATCTCCAGACATTGCTACAAGTATCCCCTACGGGGCAAAGTCACCCCTAGTTGGGAGCCAGCATTTTATACATATTTTAATTTTTAAAATCCCCAAAGCAGTAGTCTTTTTCCCTCGTGAATCATTTCTTCCATTCCGATGCTTAGCCTCGCCCCCTTTATAGGAGGGAATAGGAAGAATTTGGAAGATCTGGCCTGGGAAGCTCTCCCTCCTTACCCGCACTGGGCTGTTATTTATCCACTAGAGCCAACCCCTACACCAGACTTCCAGGATTTCTCAAAAGACCCTCATTTCCTTGCATTCCCCTCAAGGGACAGCCTCAAGTCCCTTTGACAACATCAAGGGCCCACTCACCTGCTTTTTCTTCCATACCACCCTCCCTGATGGCCAGCTGGAGAGAATCCCTCCCGAAGGAGAGCACCGACATCGACTCAATCAACAAGTGCTTAGCAGGCAGGCCTATATATACCCAGTACATCACGTGCCCCCTGCGTGGTCTTCTTTCTCTTAGTCTCTTCGTTTTCCAACTTATTTTCTGCAATCCACACAATAAATGGTTTGAAGAAGCTTACCTAGAGTTTGGCAGAATCCAAACGTATTTTGCAAGGAGCTACAGCAGATAGCAAGCCTCGGAAGGCTCACAAGCTCTGTGAAACCCGTAGTTGTTGGTGGGCCGACAGCAGGACTGGCTTGCTCCAGGTTAAGGTATATCTGAGACAACGGTGCGTTACTGAGCATTTCCCTAGAGCCCCTTTTTTTCCCTTCCACTTGAAGAAATGCATCAGGGAGCAAGTGGGCTAAAGTGATATCAGATAACCTTGGGTTTGTCCAAACATAGAAGCAAAGTGTGTTACTTCTTTATCCTTAATCACACATTCCGTGCCATGGACCCCACAATGTGTTGTTGTGACCCTACACTTGGCAACCAGTGGCTTCCCTGCTTTCAGGGATTTTTCCAGTCTCAAGGATCGAGAATCCTCTGAGTCTTCGAAGATTTGGATAACTTCCTATTCTCGATTTGATGGTGAGAAGACAGTTTCATGGCTCAAGTCCAAAGTTGCACCCGAAATGATCACAGGGATTTAAATCTCACCAGATTTCAAATGTGTAAACAATGTTATAAACAATTAAAAAATGCATCCAATCCATTCTTTATCCCCAAATGACTTCCCCCAAACAGATGGACTGTTTCCAACTGTAATCCTCTCAAGGCCTGTCATTCATTTGTATGTTGTAAAATCTGTATTTCAATATTGAATGATAAGGCATCTTTTCGCCATTCAAACTGGATGCAAAACACGAAGTGTGGTCCTGCAAAAGAGAGACACACGGTGTTCTTGGAACCATCCTTCAGGCTGGAATGGTGGACTTGGTGTAATCTGGACGTTTATCTCCTAGAGATGCCTTTGATGCAAACCTATTCATAGAATGGTAGTTGGATTTTCCAAAATTTTTATTGGTCTTCATCTGAGTCCATTCAGAGAGCTGGCTGGTAGCTCCTGATTCATCAGGTAGAATAGGAACAAGCCAGCTTTGATTTTATATCCAAAAGAGGCAGTTGAAAGGAACTAAATTTGAAGGGGAAAAAAAATTAATGCTGAATTCTCATTCTTTTCTTATTTTAGCAGCATTCTTTTTTTTTTTTTTTTTTTTTTTTAATCTTCGGTCATTACTGTCAGTATAACTATATCCCCTTAAGCAATTGTCAAAAACCTCAAGTGGGCTTTGGAACAAATTTAATTCTTATGTTCCAGCATATCATTGCAGAAAATGAAATCTAATTACAAAATTAACTCTCCACACACCAGTGAAAACACCCATGCTGGTGTTAAACAATTATCTTCACGTGGCAGGATTTACAAACACAAGATAAATTATCCTAGAGCCCTACTATCAAGCTCATCTTTCAAAATAAATGAGTTACTTACCTGTTTTCAGAGGGGGGGGGGGCATTCCATGCCTTTTAGGTAATGATTCCAGTCAAAACAGTCTGTTCTCTTCATACCCAATTCGATGGCTTTAGATCATTAGCGTCCTCATGTCTGATGCTCTTTCTCAGTTGTGTTTTGTTTTCTAACCAAAGATTCTAACGTAAGCCTGCCGTTCATATCTTTTTTTTTCCTTCTCATTTGCTTATCACGGTAATCTTAAAAAGAAAGAAACTGAGACTCAGCGAGGTTAAGGGGATCCAGCATGGCTGAGTGAGTGGTCAAGATCCGTAGCCTTGGAGGCACCTGATTCTGAGTGTGAATCATGGCTCTCCTGCATCCTTTCTGTGTGACCTTAGGCCAGTGACTTGCCGTCTCTCTGCTTTGTTTTTCTCACCTATAAAATGGGGATGGTGGTAGTATCTCCCTTCAGAGGGGATGGCTCCACAAGAGGAGCCAGTGATAAGTGCTTTATCAGCGGCTGGCCCACAACAAGCCCTCAGTAAATGTGAGCGACTGGGACTGTCTCTTTCCTTCATCACCATCGTCATCATTTTTGTTTTATGGTGCTGGACAGGGAAAGAGCTGAGATGAAAACCCAGGTCTTGGGGCGCCTGGGTGGCTCAGTGGGTTAAAGCCTCTGCCTTCAGCTCAGGTCATGATCTCAGGGTCCTGGGATCGAGTCCCACATCAGGCTCTCTGCTCAGCAGGGAGCCTGCTTCCTCCTCTCTCTGCCTTCCTCTCTGCCTACTTCTGATCTGTCTCTGTCAAAGAAATAAATAAAAAAAAACTAAAAAAAAAAAAAAACAAAAACCCAGGTCTTCTGTCCCTGCTTATCTTGCTGTTCCATGAAATTGCCTCATTCTACTCATTCCACCAAGTGCTCCTTGATGCATTTGGAAGTCCCGCTGGGGAACTGCATTCTGTGCTCTCTTTCCTTTATTAAATGATGTCAACTGCCAATTACCCTCTGCTTCCTCTAGCGCTTTCATAACACTCCTGCTACATGTACCAAGGTGCTCAATTGGACTTTTGAATTAACAAATGGGGTTCATTTGGGGACTTGAGAACATTTTGTTTTTGCCCTGTGCATTGTACCTGACACGCCGCCCCAAGGCCTGCGATCACTAAATTGACTTTTAGCAATTGTAGGGTCTTATACCTTTCTTATTAAACACATCTCTTTTAATAATAGCCATATATCATTACCATCTTCTTTAGTATGTGTTTATGGAGCACCTGCTGTGGGCCCAGCACCACATTTGCACTGGGATAGGCAGTGACCGCCCTAGGCAGGGCTCACATTAAGACTTTATTCAAAGAGTGGTGTGTGTATCATCAGAGATGATTTCTGGTTGTGCAGATCGATGAGTATTTCTTCATAGTTACGTAATTATCGTAATGTCTATTACAATAAATAGCCACGAAGCCTATGATTTCAAAGATACTATTGTGTAGGACACACTGAAAATGGGCCATGCCCAGGCAATCCACTTTAACTGCATATAGAAATGATAGGTATCTGTTAGGGTACCTGGCTGGCTCAGTCCTTGGAGCGTGGGATTCTTGATCTCAGGGTTTTGGGTTCGAGCCCCACGCTGGGTGTAGAGATTACTTCAAAATAAAATCTTTAAAAATAAATTTTAGGTACATGTTTAGTGAGTACCTAGAAGATGACAAAACAGTGAAGAAAGGGTACCAAATACTGACATCTGAGACACTCCGCAATGAGGTGAAATAGATACGAGTTTCTGGAGAGTCAGAAATTTCAGCAAGGTTTGTTGTAAAAATCCCAAAGCCTATTTTTCACTCTTTCCCCAGCAAGTCACAGGATTGAATCTGTATAAGAGGAGGCCGTTATGGGGGGAAACAGCACTGCACTAGGGGATGGAAAACTCAAAGCTTCAGTCCCAGACGTGCCCCTAGCTGGAAGAGCCACTTCTCTCTGACCCTTCATCCCATCTTCTCGTATGACCCCTCACCCCTGTTTCCTAGTACTTCTCCCTGCTTCACGCGAGGAGGCTGAGGAGGCGAGGCTGTGCTTGTGAATCCTTTGCAAACACTAAAAGCAGGAGCCCATGTACAAGGATCTGGGGACGCACTTTGCATGTTTTCGACTGTGTTATGATTGATGGGGAAGGTTCACGTAGCTGTTTCCTTTCCTCTTTGTTGACAGTCGGTTGCATGTGTTTTGGGTTTGTCACAGGCTGAAGAGAAAAAAGTATCCGAGAAGACTCTTCAGACCCCGCTTCTGCCTTCCCCTGTCGCCGACCACGTGAAGTGTAACATTTTGAAAGCCCAGCTGGAGAACGCATCCCGAGTGAGTGCCCAGGTTGGTGGAGCTGGGACATTCCTTTGATGACGCGTCACAGGATTTCCTTCCCTCCATACAGGAGAAGAGACACTCTAGGGTCGAGATACCGTGTCTGGCAGGGTCCAGCCAGGAGACAGGAACCACACCTGTTACGTGAACAGGGGTTTTAACCCTAAGAGTTATGAACTGGTGTCCGGTTATTCCCTGGGGAAGTGCAAGCGCCAGCTCTGTAGGTCGTCGAGGGGTCGAAAGCCACAGGCTGCTGCCCTGACCTCTGGTGTCCATTTGGCTGGCCTCCCTGGCTGAGTGCGTGTGTCTCCCTCCCCCGCCGTTCTTTGTGGGATTCACCAGAGGGAGGAGGACAAGGCTTCTAGCAAAATCATATGATGTAATTCCTCCTCAGCTTGTTACACTGATATGAAAAGACAGATTCTAAATTCTTTTGTAAGCCGTAAGTGATAGGTGAGCCGAGAGCTTATTATGATTCCTGATCAGCAATGGCAGCGGGGAGGATTAAACTGTGGGTTTGACTTTTCCCACACTATCCCTTTCTCATTCAAGTATGAGCTGGCACACAGCAGGTGCTCAATAAAAGTATGAATGCGGGCATTGATTACATTTGAATGATTAAGTGTTAAATCCCCCTGATGGGGAATGACTCATGAAAACATTTTTTTTTCTTATATAAACACCAGAGAAAATTTGTTATTGACTGAGTACTTCCTGAACCACCTCTCTGAGCTACCTTCGCATTTCTGTAATCCTTTGGATGCTGGAGACTTGAAAACATTTTTTGCTCACGGAGATAATTCAGGTTTGACTAACCGGCCTGTTTTCTTTAACAGGTTGGAAAAGAGGAATCAACATTTGTAAATATCAATAAGAAATCCAGTCTTCAGGATGCTAATGTAAGGTCCGTTGCTTCTTGTTTGAATGGGGAAACAATGCTCTGTATCATCAACGTTATCCTCAAAACATCACTCACCAGGGCATTTGTTAATAAAATCAGAGAGGAGAAAAGAAAATTGGAAAGAATGTCAGTACGAAGAGATAGAAAGAGACTGGCTGAAAACAACTCTGTTTAAATCTCAGAAATGCTGCTTAGTCTCGGTTTTATTATTTCTAACTGCTGCGCTAACAAAGAAATCGCTCTGAGGTGCTTTGCAAGTATATAGATAAGACCTTGTCATTCCCCTGCTTGATGTCCTGTAAGGACGCTTTTGCTCTCCCGGGGGAGCCCAGACTTCTCAGCAGAGCCTGGGAGACTCCTTAGGACTGGGCTCTGGCTCTCTGCCCCAGCTCAGTTTATCACTCTTCCTTTGGCCATTGATGTACTCTTTATACGGAGCTCCTTACAGTGCTAGACCCATACGTGCTCTTTAAAGCTTCCGCGCCATTACCACTTTAAACCCAGAGGGAAACCCTCCTCCTCTGATCTCCCAGAGAGACCCTTCCTCTCTCAGCCCAAGTAAGTAACAACCTATAAATCATGGCAGGCCCATAGCCTCCTTGGTGGTCTAATACTGGTGGGTATCCCCAGGGTAGACTTTCCTAAAATGGGTCCAAGGGTCATTGCATCAGTCTCTCATTAAAAACACAGACTTTTAGGGGTGCCTGGGTGGCTCTGTTGGTTATGCGTCAGACTCCTGGTTTTGGCTTGGGTTGTGAGATCGAGCCCTGCGTCGGGCTCCGTGCTTAGTGGGGAGTTAGCTTAAGATTCTCTCTCTCCCTCTCCCCTTGCCCCTCCCTACCATGCACACGAATAAATAAATAAATCTTTAAAACAAAACAAACAAACAAAAAACATGCGTGCAGGCCACCCAGGTCCTTCTCCAGACCTCTCAATCCTTGGAGGTGGGGTGGCGTGGACAGGAACCAGAATTTCAACAAGTACTCCAGGTGATCCAGGAAACATTGCTCTGGGGAATTCTTGATGTTAAAAAAGAAAACTCATACTTTTGAATGTCACCTTCGAATCCCAATCCATGTTCTTGGTATAATGTTGTCTTAGTGCAGAGCATAGAACCAGCTGTCTCCTGGACTCTGCAAAACCTTAATTCATCTCTTCCCATCCTACCCCACTAACATTCACCTGTTTTTCTTTCTTGGTTAATGGCATTATTACCTACCCATCATCCAGATCTGATGCCTGGGAGTCCTCTACTTTCTTCTCTTCGTCCCCTCATAAAACTGATCACCATGTCCTGCTCATTCATATCCACATCTATCCTCTCCTCTTCCTGACCCGAATCCTGGTCTACCACAAGCCCACACCGTCTGTCTGCTTGGTTACCTTCTGCTACAGTCTTTGAAGATGCTCCCGGCCAGCCCGTCTTCACTAGTATCCTCTTCCTTTCTCTAACGGTTTTTCCAACAAGCAAATCTGATTGTGCCATTCCCTTGCCTCAAACCTTTAATGACAACTTGGCCTTCAGTGTAAATTCCTGAGTCTGAAGCCCCTCGTGACCTGGCCCCTGCTTTCCACTCTAGTGGACATCTCCTCCTCGTCTGCTGGGACCTCACTGGTTGGCGGTTCCAGTGCCTTGCTTTCTGTAGCTCTCTACTCTGTCTTCACCTTGGAAGTCTTCCCTCCATCTGGTTAAGTGTAAACTCCTCCACGAAGCTTTCCAGATGCCAACCATTCCACCCAAAGTGAAGTTATGTGCTTCCTGGTTGAGTATGAGTCCTTCCAGGGACTGTGTTCAGTTGACACCAGGGTCCCAGCTTGGGGAAATCATGAATCTAGACTATGCTGACTCCAGTTTCTTTATTTGCTCATTCATTCACGTGTTTATTCAACAAACATTGATTAGGCACTGGCCACATGCCTGGCACCGTATTAGACACTAAATAGAGGAGAAAATGGGGGCTCAGAATGGTTCATTGGTTTGGTAGAGGTTCCTTGCTGAGGACCTCAACTTCTTTTGATGCCCTTACGTCCCAGAAGGTAATTTCTGAATTTTGTAAAATGAAATTAGTCATAACTACTACAAAAATGTGTGAAAGCTTTTTCTTAAAATCTCTGTTTTGAGTAGGGCCCATTGGTTATCTGGCATATTTTCTTGAGGAAATATAGAAGTGAAACAATTTTTAACATTTCACATATACACAAAATTAAAATATTTTAGAACAAGTCTTAAAGGCCTTCCGATTATGCATTTTTCACATTAAATACTCTGTTTATCTGTTAAAAATATATCCTGTGCTATATTTAAAATAGCATAACTACCAGATTACTTGGAAGTAAAAATGGGTTATCCACGGGTTTCTCTCTGCTCATTTTATTGGCAAAACCTAGTAATGAACCAAACCCTGGAGGTAGGTGTTTTGGGCAGGAAGTTTTATGTGGTACCCCAATTATATTCAGTTCCTACTTGCTATATTTTCTTCCCTATGATTTTGGTTTTTGTTTTTGGACTTTCTATGATATATTTAAAAATTATATTTAATAAGTAGAGTGGACAGGAGGAAAAATGGATATGTTTACTATCAATGTTATTAAGGGTTTAAATTAACTGAGAAAGCAATTCTTACAGCCAAAACTAGATCATAAACTTTCCTGTTGGTGATATTCTGTTTTTTTGCTCTGTCTCTAGAAGTCCTATTCCCATACGTGTGGAAACTACCCAGCCAGCAGTAGAAAAGCCGGAAATCAAGCCTCCCCGAGTGAGGAAGTTAACAAGACAATACAGTTTGTGAGTTCTGTACTGCGAGTTTTTAAAATGATAATCACAGAGTTGATGCTAAATGTTCAGTTGTAAATGCTTTTAGCCTCTCACACCATTTCCAAAGAGCCATCCCCCAAAATACAGTTTGTTTCCAATTTAGGTCATAATGGGACTTGACTTCTCTCCCTGAAAGCATTACATAGTTGGCTTATGTATTGATTATGGATTGCTGTGTAACAAGTTAGTCTAAAGTTCATTGTTTTAAACAGTCCACATTTATTTCCTCACAGTTTCTGTTTGAAGTCCAGGCATAGGCTCAGTTGGATCATCTGTGTCAGGCTCTCTTACAAGTTTGCATTCAAGGTGTGGGTGAGGGCTGTGGTCTCATCTGAAGGCTCATTCTTGCAGGTCAGAAACAGGATTTGATTCTTGTTGGCTGTTGTCTGGAGGTTGCCCTCGTTTCCTAGTCACGTAGACCTCTCTAGCTTTCTCCATCAGAAAAAAGCACACAAGAAGAGCCAGGGGGAACTCTTACAAGGCAAAAATCACAGCCTTTTGTGACCTAATCACAAGTAACATCCCATCACTTTTGCCATATTCTGTTCTTTAGAAGCAAGTCAAGAGGGCCAGCCCACACTCAGCAGTCAGGGATGACACGGGGGCATGGATACCAGGATGGGGAATCCCCAGGAGCCATAGCAAAAGCTGCCTCCATGGCATAATTGTGAAATGGTAGGATGGTCTGAACCATGTGAGACCTGTGGGAGGAGTCCTATCCCAAAGTATCCCAGAACCACCAGGGCCTGTCCAGTTTGGTTCAGCTTAATAAAAATGTTCTTGGCTACCATATCCACAGAGTTGTTTTAGGCTATTCTAGGAAGAACGAAATGAATTTGCCAGTTCCCATCTGAGGAGTCACGGTTTACTGGAGGGAGAGACAGATTGCAAATAATTATAATCCAAAGACCAGTAACTGCTATCTGAAGAGTAGTAGTATTTTAGTAAGAGCAGTAGTGCTAATCACAGTGGTAGTTCCCATTTCTTGACCTTGGCGGTGGCACCATGCCTGGGTGTGTAATTGGCCAGAGGGCTGCAGGGGGATCTTTGGATGCTGAGGAAAGCATGCAGCTCTCGAGTCAGAAAGGCTTCTGTCAGAGTCCTGGCTAATAGTTGACTGCTCTAAACTCTTGGGAAAATTACTTTTTCAGCTTCTCTTTCCTTGTCTGTGAAATGGGTGAGATCATACCTAGCCCTGAGGAATTTGGTGAGGGTCCATGTGCCAAAATGCCTTCTCAGCCCATAGCAAGGGACTTGGCCAGTGGATGAACTAGCTCCCTTTCCTTTCTTCTTGACTACCTGAAAGCCTTTGAGAAAAGGTCAAGTTTAGGAGATACCCTAAATGCAAAGTGTGGGCTGGGGAGGGTGACTGTGGATGCACTTTTCAAACAGCCATCTCGAGCCTGCACCTGGTAAAAGGAAAAGGCAACCACCTCCCACTTCATTAGCCTTAATAGAAACGCTGGACGGTTAGAGCAGCTGTATTTCCTAGGAAAGCCAAAATGAGTAATTCAAATAATTAACAGTCCTAATGGTTTCTGGGGGACAAATTAAACCATGAAAAAATCTGCTCCCCGGAGGATAAAGCTGTCAGGATTAGACTTTCTTTTTACATTTTGAAACTCTGGATGTTATTACCACCTATTCGGGATATGTAATCATGTTGGAAACAATGACTAATACGTGGCCAGGAAGGAGAGAAAATTTAACTCACTACAGTGGCTCTTGTAAGCAAGCCCTTTTCAAACCTCCAACGTCACGTATGTGTTTCTTAAGCTGCCCCAAAGTATTTTGCTTCAAAAATCAAAGAATAGAAGCATTTTCCCCATTAGTAATCATAGCAAAATTAATAGATGAGATTTTCCCAGCTTTAAGTTTTTGCCCCATAAAAATAGATCTTAAATTGTTGACACCAGTCACCACTCACTTCCAGTCATAGGTATTGGTAAGTTAATAAACACAGTATCAAGGAATACAGATGGAGAAAACTCAGATTTCCCTTTTAAAAAGTATTTCTGCGTTACTGTTTTTGAAACACACACACACACACACACACACACACACACAGCCCTTTTGGCTATTAGGGTATTCTGGGTTCCTAGGTCAGCATGATGTAGAATTGGATTTTAGGGTTCCCCACCAAGAGCATCATGATGTTCAAGTGCTCCGAATGAGTTTTTAAGTTGATGCTTTTAAGGATATGCACAAAAACGTCCGCCATGTTGTGTCCTGGAAGTAATGACGTAGGGAAGAAATGTATGGCTGTTGTATGCGGAGAAGAGAGAGAAGCAGACGCAATGTAGAGTTCAGGCAGGAAAGAGTGTCCTCTACTGATTCCAGCCAATGTGTTTAGAAAATGATGAGCTGCTGTATTTTCTTCTAGAAATGTAACTTTACTATTTATTTAAACATTGTATAAAAACCTAAAAATATTCTGGAGAGAAAAATATCCTCAGTCTGAAGAGAAAAGATAACCAATTTCCTAGAATCGTGCCATCAAAAATAACCTAGGTTCACATTGAACAACTCTTGCTGTAGACATTTTTCATGTAGTGTTAAAATGAAAAGAAATCATTTCAAAGAAAAGAATCCTGCTACACATAAAATTGTACTTGCTAAATGATGTTTCATGAATTTAACATGAATTTACCTCAGAAACGGAGGTTGAACTGAAAGACGTAATGTAGTTAAGCATAATATCTCTTTGCCACAAGATCTAAGTTAGGACAAAAGGTTATAAAAACCATCAAGAATTTGGAGTCTTTTTCAATTCTAGGCAGCGTCAGTTGACTTCCTGCTGTGAAAGATGAACTATGTGTGTGTGTGTTTTTTTTAATGGCCTATAATGTTAAACTAAATAACTGTGCTTTTAAGGTTATATTTTTCTTTTTTAATGAGGCAGAAAAGAATTTTAACCCCACTCTTCCACTTAACTAGCTATGTGACCTTGAGAAAGTTCTGTCACAACCTGCCACCCAATAACGTCTGCTTCTCTGAAGAGTGGAGACCGTAACGCAGGGCTGTTGTACAGACTAAATGGGCTAATGCGTGTGTTACTGAGTGGGTTAACTCCCTCAGCATGGATCCACCTATGTGGCATCTTACTAGTCTTCCCACTTACTCATTCCAACCTCACCTGTCCCCCTAATTAAGAATAAGTCCTAAATCCTCCTCTTGAGGCTTCTCCATATACAGAAGGATCCAGAATCTCTCAGGACCCTCCTCGCTGAGTTCCACCCTCACCTCATTTTGTGTACCATGGTCACGTTTCCCACAAGGCCACGGCCATCATGCGGCCCCTGGGAGGGACCCTGCTCAGGCCACCCTGGTGCCCACTGGCTGTGGACCTTTCATCTACACCCTCGCTCAGCCATTACTTCCAACAGTAATGTTAGAAGTAACATTACTTCCAACAGTAATGTTAGAAGTAACATTACTTCCAACAGTAATGTTAGAAGTAACATTACTTCTGGGAGTTCCACTTGCAACCCCCCCAGGAAAACTGTATCAGGGTCTCTAAGATCACCCTCAAGTTCGATGAGTCACTAGAAGGACTTGCAAAACTCAGAAAAGCTGTCATCTTCATGGTTATAGCATATTCCAGTGGAAGGATCCAGACTAAAATCAGCAAAGGAAAAGGCACATAGAGTGGAGTTGAAGAAGACTGGGCACGAGCTTCCACTTCTCTTGTGCTAGAGGATTCACATGGGCACTGTCTTATTCCCAAGCAGGGAAACTCACCTGAGCCTTGGTGCCCAGGGTTATTACTGGGGGTTCTCCAATAACCACCCCTGAGCCCAAGGTCAAAATGATATAGTGTGGCCCTAAGCTCTAGGATACAAAAGCAGGTCTTCACTATAAGTCACATTGCTAGCACTGACTGTGTGGCATGGCCCAAGGTCAGGTATGTAGGGACACCCTTATCAGGCAGGTTATCCCCAGGGCCCCGAGGTTCTCCCAGAAGCTCGTCAGTGGCCCGCGGTTCCTGTGGCACATTCCGAGTTAGAGCCCCCAGGCCTGAAGGGTTAGTTAGCCCTGTGCTGCATAGGCAGCAGTCCGGTTGGCATCAGGGGGTCGGGGACTTGTCTTAATTTCTGCAAGTTTGAGAAGACAGTGTTCATACTCAGAATGGGCAATTGATGACGTTACATTGCTCTGTCCTGGGCCACCAGGACATGCCTTGACATACTTTGTGGGAGGCCAAACCTTTCCCACACCTGCAAGCCCTGGAAACAAATCCAGAATGTCAGCCTGGACTCCTCCTCCATCATGGCAACTTCCTGTCTCGTGTACTTTTCTGCCTGCATCATCCTGTTCTGCCAGAGAGGTTCTAAGACCAGAGCTATGAGGCCCCCAAACACATGTACCCAGCTCCTCCCCTGTAACTAGTTTATCACACCAATGGGACAGTAGCTGTTAGGCCACGGAAGGTGCCATTGTGCTTTTCACCCAAGGCAGTTGGTTCTTAAGTGGCTTGTATTTACCTTCCAAAGGGAGGCCCCAGTCCCTTGGTTTGGTGGCTCCTCAAAATATTAAGCATGGGGCTACCATATGACCCAGCAATCCCGCTTCCAGTGGAATCCCAATCCAAAAGTGTTGAAAGCAGGGTCTCAAACACATTAGCTCATCAGGGGGGTGCATGGATAAACAAAATATGGTCTGTCAATGCAAGGAATATTATCCAGCACTAAAAAGAAATGAAATTTTGACATATGCTACCACGGGGACGGACCTTGGAAACATTATGGTAAGTGAGATAAACCAGATACAGGAGGACATATATAGTATGATTCCACTTCTGTGAGATACTTAGAATAGTCAGATTCATTCAGACAGAAAGCAACACAGCTGTTACCAGGGGCTGCAGGGAGAGGGCATTGGGAGTCACTGTTCAGTGGATATAAAGCTGCTGTCGGGGGTGATGAAAATGTTTTGGGTGTCCTGAATGTATCTTTAATGTCACTGAATTATACACTGACCAATGGATAAAATGATACATGTTATGTATATCTTTCCATAATAAAGCAAAAAAAATTTTAAATCCCTTGGCAAATAAATGACAAAACATCCAGCCCAAATTGGCTTTGGCAAAAATGTCACTGTTTTGGATCCTGGAAGCTGGACATCTGGCAGACATCTGTTTGGGGAGCTCCCCCATCCCTCCCCCATCCCTCCCCCGGCCCTCCCTCCACTCCCCACAGCCTGTTTATTGTTGTAATGAGCAGAGCTTCATGTGCTTTTAGTAACCACAGTGATGAAGACGACCTCCCTCCTGACCTGGCCGAGGCAGTAGGAGCGCCCACCGCCGCAGCCACAAATACCACCGCGGCCACCACGGTCTCCATGCCACTGGTGTCCCCCAAGGGCCACAAACTCAGCTCACCTCAGAATTCAGAAAGCAAGGGCCAGCTGTCCCCAGGGGCCAAGGTAAGGGGGAGGGCCCCGAGGAGTAGCTGTGCTTGCTAGGAATTCAGTATAAATTGAGCATATGGCATCCCGCGTGCATTTGAACTTGGCTCAATCATCTGTGTGCTTGTAAAGCAGGGGAAACAGCCCCCGGGACTCTCGGTTTTTATGTAACTCTTCCCGAAAGATGACCTGTTTATGAGACGCAAATGGTATAATAAAGATCTTGTGCACTGCACTTTAAGAGAAGTGGAAGAGATGTTTGAGGGCAGTTCGGTTTTAGAATATCATCCCTGCTTAATCTATAGTGCACATAAATACAGAAAACAAGACACGTTGCCCCCCTCAATAATGGAAATCTTGGAAGAGTAAAAACGTAGATGTGTCCCCATCCCATTCCTTATGTTGGATGGCCCACATGAATAGCTTGAAAGTGGAAAATATTATTTTGTCAGTTTACAATTTCCGGATGTTGCTAGCTATGCGAATGGGCTGGGATAAGGGCCTTACTCAAGACATTTCTCTTGTTTTTTTCTGAGTGACACTTAGCTGTGGTCATTCTATACAGCAAGTGGTCCAAATGCTTTCAGACCTATTGCTGAATGTCAAGTAGGTGTCAAGTCAAAGGCTCCCTGGTCTGTGGACACCACTGAGGAAAGGGAGTGTGTGGGGTGGGGGTCCCAAAGGCAAGCCCAGACCCCAGACTCTGTTCCCAGCGGCTCCTTCCACATGTCTTACCGCCGCTTGAAGCAAGCAGTTACTCCACAGGCTTTGTTTCTCCAAGTCTGCTTCCTTCACCTACAAATGGGAATAAAGTCTGCTTCCCTGCCCAGCCTATGGGCCAGCACCCTGTCCGGTGGAGCAATAAGGTCATGATTCTTGGTAGCCTCTAGGTGACAATGGGCTAGGCCACATCCTGCTTGACCGTAGCCAGGCATATACCAGCTCCCTTCCCAGGATCTTTGGGAACCCCTTTGTGGTTCTCATCAGGAGATCCTGCTCAAGCCAGAGACCCCTCAGCCAGTGACTGGCCCAGACTAAGGCTCTGTGCTTTCCTGTCAATCACCACCTGGTGTCTTGAGCCAGGCTCCCCTGTCCTGTGCAGAGTCCTTCATACTGCTTTGTTACAAGTGTGAACACAGGTTCCTATCACCTGTTCTTTGCCACGGTTAAAACCAACACCCCCCCCCCAAATGTATGAAACAGGAGAATTCAGTGGGGATGTGGGTGGCATCCTACCAGAGGCCACAGGGCTCCCTCTCCTGGCCATCTCTCTCCTTGGGGCCCTGCTGGTGACAAGCTGATGATGGAGCTTATTTTTTTTTCCTCATAAAGGCCTTCCATGCTGCTGAGACCCCCAGAGCAAGAGGGGAAAAAAAATGTTTTCCTCAAAGCTGAACATGGCTTCAGAGATACCTCCCTCCCACCATGAAGATCTTCCTCATTATTATGCAGATGACAAAAAAAAATGTTTTTAAAGTAAACTCTGTGCCACACGTAGGGCTTGAACTCCTGACCCTGAGATCCAGGACTGCATGCTCTACCGGCTGAGACAGCCAGGCGGCCTCCTGTGCTCCTGAGTTTAGCCCCTTGAGGCCTTGACCCTCTTGATCCACGAAGGGGGCTTTGCTCTCTGTATAGTCAAACGACTCTTTGAAGCAATTCCCCCCGCCCCCAAAAGACCAAAGAGCACTCAAAGCACTTAAAAGAAGTTGTTTGCACCTTTTAAAAAGGTAGTTCTCTAACCTATACACTCTTTCCGCCCATTAAAGTTTCAGAAGACATTTGGGGTTTGGCTTCTGGAATTTGCACACTGTGGGGCAAGTGACTTGTGTGGGGGACTGGCACGGTCATGGGCTCCATGATAGAAGGGAGGGTGAGGAGAGGGAGGAAAGTCTGTGATTTCCAGTGACAGTCCCTGGTCCGCCCGGAGCTGGCACTAACCAGCAGTATTTCCGTCTGCCTTCCCAGAGTCCCTCTGACCGAGGAGGTGCCTTTACCTTGGAGCCAGGCGATCTCCTGATGGACTTCACGGAAGCTACTCCTCTGGTAAACTTCCCATTTTGCTAAAACCAGAAAAGCCACAGACCATAGAAACATCTTGGCGGTGGGACGGATGGACAGAGGTGGGCATCACTGTTGGGAAGGCTCTTCCTCTTGTCCTTCTCACGGCCTGGAGGCTCAGGGATCAGCCTTCTTTGGGGGTTCAGGCACATGGGTCCCTTTACCTCCCAAAGCCCTCCAGGGAGGCAGTGCTCCCTTCCCCGCTGAGGGCGGTTGCAGGGGTCCCATTCCGCCTGTCTGCTGCTTCCCAAGCGTGTAGGGCTCCTTGGTCTTGGCTTCTCGGCTTCCTGGGCTGCTCCCTGCATGCCCCCCCACCCCACCCACCCATGGGGCATCTTCTGCTGCTGCTTCCAGCGAAGTGCTCTGGTCTGAAGCACTGGCTCAAGGCCTCAGCCCAGCTTTCCAGGCCCCTCGTGCCTCCCTGCCATTCTCCATCCCCTGCCTCTAGGTCTCCCCTTAGGGATGGTAGTGGTCCTTGTGGGACTCCTGCAAGTGGGAAACCCTTTTAGGGGAGAGAGCACTGGCCCGAGAATCGTGCAGGCCAGACCTGGCTCCAGTCTCTGCACCCCCTTCTCAGGAGCCTTGTCATGGGATCCAAGATGCCATCATTTGCCACGTCTGCCTAAGAGTATTCTAATGATCCCATGAGACAGAGCCCTTGAAGAACGTAGAAGCACCGTAAACGTGTGTGAGATATTATGAACAGTAGTAGATGATGTAGGCAGACTTGGATGTGCCTTTGGCTCGGCTCGGCCAGATACCCAAGTGTACTTGAGTGTAAACCATGGCCCACAAGTGTAGAGAGTGAGTCAAAATGTGTACCAGGTCAAAAACTCCCTCCTGAGAGCTCAGTGCACGCCTGGCCTCGAGTGAGGCTCTGGGAGCGAGCAGGGCAGCTAGAGGCTGGAGGGGAGGCAGGTTGATAAAGGGCAGGCTCGATAGAACAGTCACGTAGAATGTGCTCGGGGAGAAGCCCCAAGTGGGAGTCATTCAGGACAGGCTCACTGGAGGAGCAGGAGGTGGATAAGAAGGGTTTCTGGAAGACTTTCAAGGCAGGCGGGGGGAGGACGAATGAGACAAAACGCTATCTAACCTTTAGGAATGGTCACTGTCCCTGCTTCAGCTGGTACATGGCGATCATTTGTGATTTATGCAGTTGTATTTCTCATCTGGAGACGTGGTACGGTCTGAGAGCTTTAGGTCAGCACGTTTGGATAAACAGCTGAGAACTGACAGTGAGTGAGACAGCCTGCTCCTGGAACCTGTGGAGCTGTTCCCCTCCCATGCTGGAGAAAATGCAGCCAAGTTCTTGATGCCCTTCTTGTTAGACTGCCAAGAGAGGGCAACCCAGAAGCAGGGCCTTCCTTTATCCCCTCACCATCCTTCTGCACGGATGAGGAAACTGAGTCCCAGAGTGGGGTAATCACATAGGGACAGAGCTGTTTCAAGCCCCTGTGTTCTAGTTCCTTCTCTGGTGTCCTTTCCATCATCAGATTGGGTTGAATCTGGCATCTGGATTTCAGAAACTTGCCGCTTTGAAGAAAAGCAATGTCTAGAAGGAGGGCTGTGTTTAAAGTACTCCTCAGACTGAGAAAGCAGAACAAGGGGTGTGGAGGGTGGGACAGCAAGTTAAGCAGCCTGGGCCTGTTGCTACATAGGTATCCCAACTAAGTATCCCAGCTGGGGCCTTATACCCTAGGAGGGCCACATGTGGGGGCTGGAAGCTAGGGCCCCAATCGGAGGACATCAGTCTCGCTGGAGGGCAGCAAACCCCAAAGGGACCGGAGAACCAACCTGAGGGCATATGAAGGCAGAAGGGGGAGAAAGCTAAATTGTAAGGCTCACATGAAGAAAACATGCTGGGCAGGAATAGAAGACAGTAGGGGAAGATCTCTCCTGAGTTAGGCTCTTGAGAAACTTCCAGACTGCTGAAGCATACCGAAATTAATGCCATTTGAGAGTCTATAGAAACTGCTACTGTTGTGGGACCCAGTGCCTAACCCTGTCTGGGGCCCCTGAGAAAGAGAAGGCTTCGTAGCATTAGGGTTTTGAAGTATGAGTAAGAGTTTGCCAGATGGAGGAAATGGACCAAACAAAGCATTTGATGCAGAGGGTACAGCATGAGCAAAATACTGAGTATTTTATTAAAGATTCTGGCAGATCTGAAAAACTTGGGTTAGTTTGCCAAAAAATATTTCATGGCTCTGACAAGAATGATGGGATTCCCTTAAAAACCACCATGTCGCCGGCCCAGCTGGTAGATTTAATGGTCCTATCTTTATCTTTTCTTTGAAAGTAAGTGTCTGAGATCAGAAAGGAAGCCGCATCTGCCAGGGACCCAGAGGTCCCCAGTGCCTACCAAATGACTGTCTGGCCTTCGCTTGTACACCTCTGGCCACAGGGAGCTCATTCCCTCTCTGAGGATACCGCCCTTTCATTTCTGGGCTGCTCTGACTGAGCTCTGAAACAGGGCCCAGGCTGCTGCACTGCCCGGGCACGGGACAGCTGAGGTCCGTGTACCACACCGGGACACAGCTGTCCACTTCACAGCTCAAGTCTGCAGCGAGTACGTGTTTTCAGGATGGAACATCCTTAGTCTTGCTTGTGTGGATTTGAGGTGTGAGTGCATGTCCACGGCACACGTTCATACAGAAGGTATGCTGGAGGGCTCGTACTTTGATGAGAACCTGCTCCATTTGGGGCTTTCCTTGACATCACTGGCTTTGACCTTCCTTCACTCCAGAATCCCATCTTCACTGAAGCTGAAGGGTCTTCAAGAGAAAGGGGGGCTCCAGCAGTCTGCCTCTCCTGTCTGGTCCTCTTCCCTCCATCTCCTCCATCTGCTCTGCCCACCATCCTGGAAATACAGGCAACAGTCCTCTCTGTTCTTGTTGGTGGCAGTGGTGGGGGGGGCAGTATCTCTGCCCCAGAGGACAGTGGAGGAGAGACTGGATTTAGGGTCTGGGGCTCAATGAAACTCCTATAGCCACAGGACCACTGGTTCCTTGGGCCAGAGCTAGAAGGACAGCGGAGAGAGGGTTGGGACCAGATTCTCCTACCTTCATTCAACGACGTCCCGCCAAAGCAGTAACGCTAGTTTAACTTTAATGACTCCCACTCGGATGATCCCTTCTCTGCATGGGGCGGTTTTTGAAGAAGCGTAGTCCAAACAAATGAGAATAATAACGTTTCCGTCTTTAACTGACATCTCTCAAAAAGCATTCAAGATTAAATTAGCACCTCCTTGGTAACACTTCTCAGATCCCATTTTGCTTCCTTCTTAATTTTCTTGCACCCCGCACGACTCCAAGGATTTTCATCCTCAAACTCTCCAAAAAACATTCTTTCCAGGGTCACTCTTACACCACTTTTTCCTCCTTTTTCCATATCTTTTCTCCTCCCATTCCCCAGCTCTTTTACTATGTAGCTCAGCGTAGCCATAGGAGCTCTACAACCTGCACGGCTTGTGGCTTGCCCGTCCTGGGATCCGCATAGAGGACTTGCCCACCAGACTGGAGATTCTTGCCAGGATGGAAGAGGCGGGGCAGAAAGAGGGGATAAGGGAAGGGGATAAGGCAAGCGAGGGAGGGACAAGAGCACCCACTGTCCTTTTGGTATTCTCTTTTGGAAGGGGAGTCTGCGTTCATGCATGGGGTGTTGGTGTTAACAGAATGGAAGGAGGGGACATTGACTCATCAATCAAGTCTGTCCTCCAGGTCTGTCCTGCCAGCTTCCCTCCCCAGGTGACATGCACCACAAACACCTATGCCTTCTGTGTTCCTGATGCCTTGTCTTCAGGGCATGTCCCTCCCCATACTGCATGAACCGCTCAGCCAGCGGCAGAGCAGAGGCATTTACTTAGGACCCAGGTCTGTTCTGGGCCTGGGACTGTTAGTCTAGAGTTCATGTGCCAGGGAGGAGATTGGCCTGGCCAGTTGAAGGTTGTGTAGGACAAAAAACAGTCCTTGGCTCGAGTGTCAGAAGAACTGGTTTTCTGTCTAGCTCAATAACTTGGTTTTTATTTTTGAACCTCATTCTATCAGGAGGGCTGAAGCTTGATCCCCAGTGAAATCGGGGTGCCTCTTCCACTTTCCTGGGGATTCATCCATCTTCCCCAGGGCACAGGAAGATGGAGGGCAGTCTCTTTAGTCTGTGATGTCATCTCTTTGCTGATACATCTGGGGCACTGCCTGCTTCCCTCATGCCCCTTTTGGGTGGGTGGAAGCCTGTCCGGCTGGGAGGAGAATCCCAATCTGCTGGCGCCTCTCTGCTCAGTACTTCCTAATGTCTACCCCTACTCCTCACTTTCCCTCTGACTTTTCTCTCCAGCCCTCACACTGGCAACCTCTTTTCTTGTCTGGATGATGAAGAAGCCTTTCACATTTCCATCTTCATTTGTCTATGCCAAAAATCTTTCTGTTCCCCAAGGAGTCAGATTTTAAACCTCAAAAGCCAAGTAGCTTAGAAGAACCTAGCTGCCTGAATGTGGAAAAAAGCCAAGGAGGAGAGGAAATGCCGGGAGAAAAAAAATAAAACGGTATTTCAAAATAGTATCCTATTACACGTGTTCTCTTATTTCCTGTTCATTTACTAACAGATGCGTATTTAGAAGAGTCATACATGCTTGTGGGATGGCTCGACATTTCTTTACCATAAAAGTCCAATGCTAGGCAAAGCCTGAAGTCATTCATCATAACCTTCAGCTAAGACACTAGTGGCTGGTACACAATCTGGCATCTAGGCTATATGTCCGTGTTTGCTGGTCATCTACGCCAGCTTTTATTTTCTTCACAAAGCCCACGGGAGTGCCTGCTTATCTGCAGAGGCTAAGGACCCATGGCCTGGGGTCCCTGGTGCGGTTGGTTCTGGCCGGGGTGGTGTTGAGAAGCGAGGGCGGGTGGGACAGGCTGGAGCCCGCTTCAGTCAGGTGTCCAGTGCCACCTCCCAGAAGGCAGGGTTCAGCCTGAGGACAGGAGAGAGCAGTGGAGGGAGCCTCAGCAGTGTGCTGAAACTTGACGGCAGGTGGTTGATGCGGACTCCCCTGTTTCTGAAGGACAGCTGCAGCTGTAGCCTTTGCAGATGCCATCTCTCAGCATCTCCAAATCTGAGTAGTAAAGCAAGGCGGTCACCAAGACTGTTGGAGATTCTGGTTGTAAAACCCCTTTGGGACTGGTCCGGGACTGCACAATTGTAAGGAGATCGGCGTCAGATCAATCGCGAGACAGGAAAGTGCCCGCAGTGTTCTGTTGTCGTGAAAGTTCCCCAGGGGCTCTGCTCCCTTCATTATGGCAGGATGTTACCAACTACCTAAGGAAGCTCTCTTGAAAAAGAGGCGTGTGTTTACTCTCGGGACCATCACCACGCTCACCAGTCCAAGCTGCCGGCCCTCCGCTGGTGCATGGCACTCTGTAAGGCTGGGGTGGGGAACCCAGTACCCCGAGCCATTTTCTCACAATGCTTGATATCTTCCAGCTAAAGCAACAGGGTCCTTCGGCAACAACTTGAGGTGTCATGGCCTGGGCCACGGGGATGGAGGGATGGGGGCCAGGGCCAGTATGTTCTCTAACACAGATAACAAAAAGCCACGGCAGATGAAATCCACAAGTCCGTGTTCCTGCCTGCTGAGATCTGTCTTTCCTGGATCTGTTGGACACCTGCTCCCTGTACACCCCGACGGGCCCTTATTTAGCAGAGTGCAGGAGGCCTCCAGGCGTGCAAGGCCAGCACGCTCAAGGCTTCATATGGTCCCCACAGCCGGCGTCACTCACTCATCACGGCTGTCTTTCTGGCGTGGCCTGGCCCATGCTTCGGGAAGCCGCTGCCAGGCCCGCGCAGTCGGTCAGGAGTCTCCCTGCCTGCCAACCCCGGGAATGGGGTTTCGATGGGTTGTTCTGCTCAGATAGTGGAGAAGACAGATGAGAGCCAGAGAGGAGGAGAGAAGGTGGGGAGAGGAGGGAGGAGGGGGGCCTAGAAGCCAGCTGGCCAGAGGCTAGAAGCAGGCGCGGGCGAAGCTGGCTCCAGCGCAGTCTGGAGTTGACAGATCCTTCTTGCACTGTGCTATCTTTCTCTCCTCCCCTCCCTTCTCTCCTCTGCCTCCTCCCCCTCTTTCCTCTGCCTCCTCCCCTTCTCTCCTCTCCTCGTGAGCAGGCAGAGCCCGCCAGCGCCCCCCACTGTGCCCACCCTCGCTGTTCTCCTCCACTCTCTCCCCCCATGAAGGAAGAGACCACTGGAGTTTGCATGCACCCTCCAATCAAAACGAGGCTGGTAGGTACCCTGGCAGGGAGAGGGGCCTGGCCAGGAGAGGCGAGGCGGGCAGGAGCCACCAGGCGGCCACCCCGCTGGTGTGCATGAGCGCTAGACATTCTGGAAGGGCCTGACTGACAGGTGCTCTGACTCCAGGATGGATACACAGTTTGGCCAAATGAGGACACACTGGCTGCTGTCCTGCCCCGTGTCTCCAGCTCTCAAGAACCAGGAAGAGTTTTTTGTTTTGTTTTGTTTTGTTTTCCTAAAGCTTTGATGAGCATAGATGCTTTTCCCAGAAAGAAAAAAAAAAAAAAGTTGCGTTTCTATGGAAAATAAAAACTTTTTCCCCTTGTCTCTCTTCCTGCTACATTTCCAGATAACAGGATGAGTGTTACATAACAGCCTGAAAGGCCTCACCCATCATCCCAACCTAGCACGATGTTTTTTTCATTTTTACATGTTTCCTTCTGATATTTATTTGTATTCATTTATAACTTTACAGAGTGAAATCACAGTGTGCGTATCATCTCTCGTTTTTCTCTCTTCGCTGAGTGTTGGATTGTTTCTTTCTTGTTCTCGTCACCACATTGTATATGACTGTTTGCCTTCCATCCAGCGCGTGGTCTCCCATTGACGGACACATTCTTCCGGCAGGATGCGTGCTTGGTTTCCAGCGCGTCACTATTCAAGGGGACACATAGCTTTTGTGGCGGGTATTTTATTTTCTTAGGCTAGACCCTGCTGGGTTCAAGATTGTGACTTTGGCTTTGCTCCCTTTCTAAAGCGGTTACACCAAGGGGCAGCAGCACCAGAAGACTGACCATGCTTTGCCACCGCCGGGCAACGCAGAGTGTAGCTTTTGGGGTAGATTTTTGTCTTATTTAGAGAAAATACAGGATAATTCATGGAAGCTGCCAATGTTCAACTTTCTCTAATAGGAGTAATAAACCGCTTTTCCCTTTTACTTCACGGTGGTCTGAGAGTCTTATCTGACTGTGACTTTTCACTTTGCTCTTGGTCTCAGCACACATGCCGAACCTTAGGCCCCGTGAGAAGACGGCACCACAGCTTCCCCCTGGGTCCTCCCGCTGTGTGGCAGGCAGCCGCTCTCAGCAGTCTGAGCTGCCACAGCGCATTCAGGGGCCCATTCTGGGAATTCAGAGATGTTTAAAGAGGCCAAAGAGAGTTTGGGGAAGGGGAGCAGGCGTGGGCTGGGAATCTCCGTGCACATTGTAGAGACACTGTCCTTCTCAGATTGGTTGAGAACTACTCCACCCATTCAGAAAAGCCAGATTTGGGTCTGTTCTGATGTGCTCTCGCTCCCCCCTACCTTAGCGCAACCTTCCCCCCACACCCCCCCACCCCGTTTAGATTGAGTCAAGAGCATCAAATAACTACCCCAGGGTCCATAGACAAGTCCCTGGGAGAGACAGCCGCTACCCAGCCAGGGTCAGCGGTGGCCTCAGTGTGCGGGCTGCTGCCCTCTGGTGGCAGGTGGTGGAGCGTGCATTCCCTAGCAGGTGGGAGGGCAGTTTCTGTGCCCTGGGGGCTGCAGGCAAAGCTAGTAGCAGAGTCCTTACGCTCCTGGGCCTGCTGGCAGTCCTCTAGGCTGGTATAAAGACAAAAGCACACTCCACATTCCCCAAGGCCTCTATGGGGACAAAGACAAAATGACCAAAGAGAAAGCAACAGAAGCCAAGTCTCCTTTCGAAGCCAAGTCTCCTTTCGGCCCCCCACCACTAGCTGATTGGGCCATTTGTCCACACTCCTTCAGACCAGCCCTGTGCAGCGGCTGCCCTAGCCCTGGGCCCGTCTGATCACAGTGCCCTGTGTCCCCAAGGCCGTGGTGGCGGGATTCTCACATGCTTACAGAGCCTGGCCCAAGGTTCTCCTCTGTGGCTGACGATTTACAGGGAGTCCAACAACTGAGGAGAAGAGACAGGAAACAGTTTGTGGCCTAATTAGTGCAAGCCGCCTCCTGGTACTCTGTCCACCGTCGTAGACCGTGTCCCAGGATGTGGCCTGTCAGCAGCCTCTAGGGCATGCCCCCCGGCCATGGGGAAGCCAACAGCAGCCACCCAGACAGCTCTGGCCTGTCTCACTACACACCCTGACCATGGCCTTGTATGGATCAGGCCATGCATAGGGCCCTGCATGCCTAGGAGGTCCACACAGCCTCCAGGGAAAGGAGTTCCGGGCCAGGTGAGCGTGGCGTGCCCTACAAACACGAGACTGCAGACTGTCATCCCTGCTGGGTCCCGGCCCTACGGCACAAGGATGGGCGCGGACACGACCACTGGCCAAGGGGCTGCAGGGACCGTCTATACGTTTCCCTGCAAACAATGAGGGCTCCGCGTGTGTCCCCCTGAACCCATCACTTCGGTGTTAAAAGTGCCAAAGATTTCAAACCTCTGTTTTCTAATCTGAAAGTAACCCTCTTGTCTTTCTCTTTTTTGAAGATAAAAACATTCCCGGCTGATCCAGTGGCCCCATTTCCCGATGTTTTCAATTCAGGGCCACAGTTCACTGTAAGTAGATTCAGAGAACAGGTCTGTGTTTTAAGATGTTGCTCCCATGTGACATGCTTTTCGGTGGCATGCCAGACGACAATGTCAGCAGCTTCTTCTTCTTTCTTTCTTTTTTTTTTTTTTAAAGATTCATTTATTTTGAGGGGCGCCTGGGTGGCTCAGTTGGTTGGGTGTCTGCCTTCGGCTCAAGTCATGATCCCAGCGTCCTGGGATTGAGCCCTGTGTTGGGCTCCGTGCTCAGCTCTGCTTCTCCCTTTCCCAATCTCCCTGCTTGTGTTCTCTCTATCAAATAAACAAAATCTAAAAAAAAAAAAAAAAGAAAGAAAGAAAGAAAGAGAGAAAGAAAGAAAGAAAGGAAGGAAGAAAGAAAGAAAGAAAAATTTGGGTGCCTGGGTGGCTCAGTCATTGAGCGTCTGCCTTCAGCTCAGGTCATGATCCCAGGGTCCTGGGATCGAGCCCCACATCAGGCTCCCTGCTCAGCGGGAAGCCTGTTTCTCCCTCTCCCACTCCCCCTGCTGGTTTTCCCTCTCTCACTGTGTCTCTCTCTGTCAAATAAATAAAATCTTTTTAAAAAAGATTTATTTATTCTGAGAGAGTGAGAGCGAGAGGTGGGAGGGGGCAGAGGGAGAGGGAGAATCTCAAGCAAACTCCCCACTTCCACACTGAGCCTGGAGCCTGACACAGGGCTCGTCCCAGAACCTCGAGATCATGACCTGAGTCGACATCAAGAGGTCAGACACTCAACCGACTGAGCCACCCCGGCCCCCTGATAGCTTCTTTTAATCCTATGAACGAACTCTATGAGGTTGGGAAGGACTATGGGGTTTGGGGCCTCTACCTTTTTGTGACTTTATTTTACGGAGGAGAGCATCATGTAAGATAAAATGCATCATTCTAAAGTGACTTTTGGTACACTTGGTGCTGTCCAACTACGATCTCTGGTTCCAAAACACTTTTATCACGCTGAAAGGAAACCTTGTTCCCATTAGCAGTCACTCCCTTTCCCCACCCCTCCAGCCCTGGGCACCCACCAATCTGCCTTCTGTCTCTGTGGATTTCTCTAGTGTGGATATTTCGGATAAATGGGGTCGTAGACTTTATGACCGTTTGCGCCTGGCTTCTCTCACCGAACATCATATGTTTGAGGCTCTTGTACGTGGTAGGAGGGATCAGAGCTTCATTCTTTTTGTGGGGGCTACTAGTCCAGTCTGTTGGTTCATTCATTCACTGGTGGGTATTTGCGTTGTCTCTACCTCCTGGCTGTCGTGAGTCATGCTGTCGTGAGCATGTGTGTACATGTCTTTGTTGGGGTTCCTGTCTGCAGTCCTTTTGGGGCGGGTCTCCATCTTGGTGATGATGTGATCTTAGCTGTCGCTTCGCCGCTCCTGGCCCCAGTCTCCTCTTATCTGAATGGACATAGGAATAGGGACCGCCTTGTATCCGGTGAAGGCAGGGATGAAAAGGGAACAAGAGGTTGGCAGAACTTGACCAACCACAGAATGTCCCAGAAGGGTCAAGGATGGTGGCTGTTTCTCAAGGGCCAGAGAGGAACGGGGGTATCATTAATGACAGCAGGGAGTCATGGCAACCTACTTCATGTCCCCACCTCCCTTTGTGTACGGGGCAGCTGCTTTAAGCTCTGCAGAATGTCAGAATATTAAACCTTTAAATGCTGTAGTTTTCTCATCTGCAAAATGAGGGAGTCCGATGGCTTCTTTTCAGCAGTAAGTCTTTCCTTTCAATGAAAGCTTCTGCAGAACTCCCTGTCCAAGCGGCTGCAGGGAGCAGAAGTGGGGAGTCTGGGATCACCTCCTCTTTCCTCTTACCCCTTCCTCCTCCTGGGGATCAGAGTTTGTAATTCCTAGAACTGAGTGATCCCCAGGGTTCCTTCCGGAGGCTTCCTGGCCGGTCTGGAGGATGTGTGAGGTGGGCCGGGGAGGAGGGTCCTCTGGGTAACCAACAGTGCAGTCTCTGAGCTGGGTGGTGGTCACTCCCTGAGGCGGCTTTAGCCACTTGGACAGAGAGGGAGGGAGCAGTGGCTGGTGTAGTTTTCAGAGGTTGAGCAGAGCTAGGAAGGGGTCTAGCAGTCCAAGCAGAGGCAAAAAGCAGGTTCCTCGAATAATATATTTCTAAGATCATGAGCAGCTTCCAACACCTGCCTTGGGACAACCAGACGTCAGAGACACAGGCGCTGGGCAGGGCTATTAAGTGCTACTCCCCTGCGCTCTCCTGCCCCTGTGGTTTCCCTGGGCACAGCTCCCCCGCCGGAAGTGCCTGCTCCACTTCCCTCAGCTGGCCCACGGCAGGCACTCTGGCCTCCTGCCCAGCCCTGGCAGTGCTGTGAGACACCCAGGGAAGCCCTTCCTGAAAAGCTGGGGGCCAAGATGGAGCAGGAAGCCAATGTCAGAAACCACACTGGGACTTTTAAGAACTGGGCAAGAGTGGCTCGAGGACAGCAATTTTACGAAGTTTCGAGATAATACGGATGCTGGCAGGCTGGGGACCATACTTTGGGAAGCACTGAGATAGTGGTGAAAAATACCAGTTATGGGGTCAGCTAATCCTGGTCCTCAGTGCTGCTTCTTAACACTTACTGTGTGACCTTGACAAAATTAATTAACCTCTCTGAGCCTTACTTTTCTTTTTCATAAAATCAGCTCTAAGATACCCATTTTTTTTTTCCACTTTTTAAATCTCTGAAACCGGTTAAGCATCTGCCTTTGGCTCAGGTCATGATCGCAGGATCCTGGGATCCAGCCCTGCACTGGGCTTCTTGCTCAGTGGGGAGCCTGTTTCTCTCTCTTCCTCTGCCTACCACTCTGCCTACTTGGGCACGCTCTCTGTCAAATAAATAAACAAAATCAAATAAATCTCCGAAATCAGAACATTCGTTACATGAGTGGGTGTGACAAAGTTTGAATGACCACGTTTTTCTTTCTCTGTGGCTCATGCAAAAATGGTGGATCTTACAATGGATGGTGTCAAATGTGATGAAATGACCTCTGCCTTAAGGATTGTCAAGAGGTAATATATGTAAAGTGCTTAGCAGAGTGTCTGGCATAAAATAAAATCATTTAATAAGTGGTAATTTAGCTATTGTTAAAAAAAAAAACAACAGGAACTGTATGGTAAGGCATAGGGAGTCACTGACAGTGTGAAAATGGAACCCAAATTGAGATTGATTTCCTCTTTTCTGTTTCCTCTCCAGGCGGACTTTAGAGACAGTAAATTACCATGCTGTCCTGGCCAGTCTTCCCCACTGATTCCGGCAGTGACCCTGAGGCCTTTGACAGAGACCATCTCCACAGTGCAGACCATCTACACCACCCGGAAGCCCGTTTCTCTGGCAGCCAGGTGAGTGAGGCCAGCAGGTACCTGCAGGGAGCTCCGGTGATAGGGAGAGCAGGCACAAGCTCTAGTTTCACTGTGTCTGTGACATCTGTTTATTTATTCTTTCATTCATTTATTCTGTACATATTTACAGAAGTGTCTACAAAGGCTAGAGAGTATTCTAGGCCCTCGGGATGTACAGTAAATAAAACAGAAATCCTACCTTTATGCAGTCTATAATTTAGTGTTGAGGGAGAGGAGACAGACATTAAATAAATGCATGTGAATGTGTGTGTGTGTGTGTGTGTGTGTGTGAGAGAGAGAGAGAGAGAGAGAGAACGAGGGTAGGGGGTGACCAGCTAAAGAGGAAAATGAAACCAAGAAGGGCACTGGGCATGCTGGGATAACCTCATTCAGGTGGCTTGTAAGCAGAGACCTGCAGCCAGGGAGAGAGCAAGCTGCAGGTGTTTGCAGCAAGAGAATATTTATCAGGGGAACGGCCAGTGCTAAGACCTCTGAGCGGAGCGTGCCCGGAATGGTTAATGGTTAATGCTCTGGCCAGTGTAGCCAGAGCAGGATGAGACAGGACAAGAGCCCCATGAAGCTGGAGCTTGGGGCCAGATTGTACTTGTTGGTCACAGTAGAGAATGATGTCTACCCTGTATGAGATTATTTAAAAACTTTGTTTGTGCTTTAGATGTATACTTTGCGTGTGCGTGCGCGCGTGTGTGTATGTGTGTGTGTGTGCATGTAAACAGTGGAGACAGATCCCATAGTCAAGCAATGGAGCCCGAGGGCCAAGAAATCAGAGGCAACCCCTCAAAGCAGCCAATTTTATTTCATACAATTTGTTTATTAAAATATGGGGGAGAGAGGACTCTGGGGGAAAGTGCATTTGAATCCGATTTGAAGTATGATTGAAAGAAATCTAACCCTTGGACATCTCCCTGCTCATTCAGAAGACCTTTATTGAGGCTGCTGAGTACCAGGTCCTAGGCTTGGCTCTGGGGTTCAGAGATGAATGACATATATGGTCAGTCCACTGGGGTGCAGTGCCCTGAGGAACTCTCAGTCTGGTGGGGGAATCCAGTAGGCAGCCAGACAATTTCAGGTCATTGAAACGCTTGCAAATATCGGGGGTCCTTAAGGAGCCTGAGAGGGAAAGTCAAAAGCCACGGTCAAGAAAGAAGGTGGGGGAGATGACACCATTCTTGTCACTGTTTAGTGGAATCTCATTATTTTGTCACCTACTCTTCTTCAGTGCAGAGACGCTCCGGCAGGAACTGGAGAGAGAGAAAATGATGAAAAGACTGTTGATGACCGAACTGTGAAATTCTCCCCTTGTGGCCTGGAGGATGGCATGGTGCCTTCTGTCCGTTTTCTTTCTTCGGGCTTTGTGTGCTCACTTCAGCACAGCACAGAGATGTGTGCTCTGTTTGCCCAGGTCTCAGACCGTGGTTGGTTGAAGCCGACTTCTGGCTTGACTTTTATGGGAGAAGTTATTTTCTGTCTCCTGAGTATTAGAGTTTTTCTGCTACTCAATATAGTTGGGACGGGATTTGGGAAGCCTAGGAGAAGAAAGATGGGGAGATGGGATTCCCTCTGAGGACTACCTGTGTGTCTATATTAATAAGCACAGGAGTCAATGTGGCACGGAATCCTTTGCTATCAGTCTCAGCCATGATTTTGTATGATTGAAACTTGCACCAAGTTTTGACTGTTTGTTAAAGAGTCTTTTTAATGAGAGAATAATTCTTTACTGCTGGTTTTTTCATTTACACTGGTAATTATACAGATCTTATAAAGTCCTTAACATTCATTTTTATTCAGACACGAACCGATGAACTAAAACAAGAAAGCTGCGATCACCAGGATTGAAGTACTTCAGCGAAATCTGAAATACAATTTAAATTGTGGATTTGTTGGATACGATATTATTTGGGATAGACAGAATTTTTCATTGAACCCCAAGTAGGAAATTATAGCTTAAAATTGTCTAAAAATCCTTACAAGGATAAGATGATTCAATATCAAGATTCATTTGGGTGTTCCATAAAGGAAAATCATTTCTAAAGTTGATTAATTCTTGTCCTGTTGATAGAAACTTGACCAGATGACACTTTGTTCTCTTTTTATATAGTTTCAAGAAATGTGTTTTTAAATTTTTATTATGCACTTGAACAACTTTGCAGGAATAAAGGCACCCCCTCCCCCACAGACTAGCCCTCTAAGTTGTCTCCCGAGCTCTCAGTGAACATGCACACATTTTTTTCATAGCTGTGAACAGTGTGTACATACTCTTTGGTTGGACTTTTCCACCTCACATGTATCTTCCCTTTTTAACACAGATCCTGCTCTCACCAATTTAAATGTCTGTATATCCATGTAACATGCTTAACCTCACTCCTCCCTATTACTAGATATTTGAGTTCTGTCCAATTTTTCACTCTTATAAATAGTGCTGCTATGAATGTCTTTGTAAAAAAAAAAAAATGCTCCTTCTTTTGGGTTCTTCCCTTGGGAATATGTCCAAAGAGGGATTACAAGGTCAAAGAGCATGAAATATTTTATAGCTCTTATTTCATATTGCCAGATTGCTTTCTAGAAAGATCCAATCTCTGGGTTGGAAGGACCTTACAGGTCATTAGTTCAGCTCCCCTGTTCCCTCTGAATGCTTGAATCCCTCTACAATTTATGATGCCACCAGCAATGTATAAGCATTTCTACTTACCAATAGTTCTGCCAGTATTGGGTTTTGCCATTTTAATTTATTTTTGCTAGTTTAATAGGTGTGTATAGTTGTTCTTGAAAGGTTGTTTTATTTCGTTAATTGCTAGCAAGGCTGAGCACTTTTCCATGTGATGATTTCCTAGCTGTATTTCCTTGTGTGTAGAATGTCCATCCACTTCTTATGACCACTTGTTAGGTGGAATTGATCTCGTATATTTGTACCAGAACTGTATTTTTATGTTGTATTGTATAGTTTGCTCTCCTGTCCCTATCCTTAAAACTGAATGGTGCCAATAATTTGATACTAATGATTATTAAAAAAATGTAATGCCTCATTTACTAGCATTGTTGTAAAATGAGGTATGTACGCAAATATTCAGATAATAGAGGATTAACCCTTTAAGTGCTGAATCTTTAAAATTTTAATATTTTTTTGAGGGAAATCTTTCTAAAATGCGTTACGCACTTCCCTGCCTTAGTAAAGAGTATACTGGAGAGTATTTAACCTTTTCTTGATGAGTCACGGTCATCATTATCAACATCAGTCCCTTTTGTACCTTGGTGTGGTGCGGTGATGTCATCAGGAGCTATCAGAATACATAGGGCTTGGCTTTGCCTTTCACAGACTATTGTGCTCTTCTCACTGATGAATTTTACTGCTTTCTGCTCTATTGGTGAAGCCATCTGGGACATTTGTGGTGTCTGGGACTTTTTACTCCCATACTGTATGACCCCGGGCTCTACTTTTAAAACAGCTTTACCTGTTCTTTATCTTGTGCACACGATCCAAAATGTGTTCCTGTACAAGACGGGGGAGCTATCTGTGTCTGGGGTTGTAACCCCTTGCCAATGCAGCACCCTCCTCCTAACCTGCTTTCTGAGTCCTCCGCTCGTCACCTCCCTCTCTCTAACGGAAACCTCCAGGGCAGAACGGAAGTTTTCCTGGAGAAGCCGAGGAACCAAGTATGACATGTGTCGGGTGTGCTTTGCTTCCGAGGAGGGGTGCATGGGCTCTTGGGACGCTGTTGCCAGGAGACTCCGAGCCTCCTGCTTTTTTTCCCCACGTCCCCCTGGGTTCACCGATGTTCAGAAGTTGATGTCACTGGAAGTCTGATCCCAACAAGTTGGCTGTTACTGTATATGAAAACCTAGTACCTTTGGCAGCTCAGCTCTAACCAGTAAAATCAAGAGGATTCCATCGTTTCAGCAGTTGTCCTGGTTATTTGCCTACTTAAATGTATGACGGGTGCTCGGCATGGTGAGCTGAGGCGATGACATCATGTTGGGTGGTCCATAGGGGCAAAAAATAAATTGATAGAATTGCTTGACCTCTTTTACATACTTAACACAAAACAACAGCACCGTACGGTCACACAACACATACTTTACGTCTGGGGTGCAGGCGGGGGGCTCCACTTACTGACATAATCCTGCCAGAACAAGGGTCTGAACCCTGGACCACAGACTCCTGGTGGGCATGGGGGGAGGGTACCACAGGGGGCCTGTGAGTCCTGCAATTCACAGAGTTTGTGGATCGCAGATGCAGAGAAGATTCTTTTTTCTTTAAGATTTTATTTATTTGAGGGGCGCCTGGGTAACTCAGTGGTTAAATCCTCTGCCTTCGGCTCAGGTCATGATCTCGGGGTCCTGGGATCGAGTCCCGCATCGGGCTCTCTGCTCGGCAGGGAGCCTGCCTCCTCCTCCTCTCTCTCTCTGCCTGCCTCTCTGCCTACTTGTGATCTGTCAAATAAAAAAATAAAAAAATAAAAAGATTTTATTTATTTGACAGAGAAAGACACAGTGAGAGAAGGAACACAAGCAGTGGGAGAGGGAGAGGGAGAAGCAGGCTTCCCGATGAGCAAGGAGCCCGATGCAGGGCTCGATCCCAGGACCCTGGGATCATGACCTGAGCCGAAGGCAGACATTTAACTGACTGAGCCACCCAGGCGCCCTGCAGAGAAAATTCTTATGTTTGAAGAGTTTAGAAACTAGGTCCTAAAGCATTCAGAAGACCCCATCTGAATGCACCCCAAATGTTGTATTCTTAGAAGAATGCAGGAATATTCTGAGATCTTTATCTTTCTTTCACCAATTCGGTTTTTTAAAAACTTGAAATTCACCATTTCAACCATTTTATAGTGTGTGGTTTGGTGGTTTTTTTTTTTTTTTTTTTATGTTTCCAACGGTATGCAAACATCACCACTCTCTAATTCCAAAACATCTCCATTGTTACAAAAAGAAACTCCCTATCTACAGCCACTACCAATTCTCCCCTCTCCCTACCTCCTAGCAACCACTAATTTACTTTCTGTCTCTGGATTTCTGTCTATGGATTTGCCTATTCTGGATATTTCTTATAAATGGAATCATACAGTATGTGGTCGTTGGGGGCTGGCTTATTTCACTTACCACAATGTTTCCAAGCCTCGTCCGTGCTGTAGCATGTATCAGTACTTCATTCCTTTAATGAGTGAATAATATACACCATTGTATGGCTATTACCACATTTTGTTTATCTGTTCATCAGTTGATTGACATTTGGGTTGCTTTCACTTTTTGGCTATTATGAATAATATAAACATTCATGTACAAGTTTCTGTATGAACATGTTTTCAACTCTCTTGGGTATATAACTGAGTTGGAATGTAGTGAGGTCATATGGCAACCAAAATTTAAAAAAAAAAAGATATACTAGACAGAAGAATGGGTATACCTGTTACAGGTCAGATACTGTAATGTAGCACTGATTTGGGGGAGGTTTTTTTTTCTTTTTTAAGATTTTTTTTTTAATTTATTTGACAGAGATCACAAGTAGGCAGAGAGGCAGGCAGAGAGAGAGGAGGAAGCAGGCTCCCCGCCAAGCAGAGAGCCCGATGTGGGGCTCGATCCCAGGACCCTGAGATCATGATCTGAGCTGAAGGCAGAGGCTTTAACCCACTGAGCCACCCAGGCACCCTTGGGGGATTTTTTATAACAGAAAAACAAGTTAGAGAAATGGTTTTGATGAGAAGAGAAAATAAAGGTGCTGTCTTTCTTTTAAAAATGAAAATGAAATTAAACTAAAGTGCATCTCCAAATTCTTATTTGAATAGATGGCTTTTGTTCAGCCAGCAGTCTCTGAATGTTCAGGAAAAATGCTCCCCCAGAAAATGTGCACTATACAGAAAACCACAGTATTGATTGGCTACTCAGTGAATTAACATTACTGGGGAGCAGAGGGTCTCTGCAAAACCCGGGATGTAACAGAGAGGAATATGTGCTGAGAGTAGGAACATGTCTCCCTCCAGGGCTCAAACCTTATAAGAAAACACAGAGAGGGACCCCTGGCTGGCTCCGTTGGTGGAGCATTCAACTCTAGATCTTGGGATTGTGAGTTCAAGCCCGATATTGGATGTAGAGATTATTTAAAAATAAAATCTAAAAAGAAAACACAAAGAATAAAATCCCAAAGGGTAATTTAAGTGAATGGGAGAGAACCTCATGAAAGAAGAGCCAAGTCAGTAGGGAATTGAGAACCAGAATAGTTTTAGGCCCTCACGAAGCATGCATATTGAATGACTAATGACAGCTATGCGGATTCTCCCTAGAAAAAATATCCATTCATCACTTGTTCCAGCACTTTCACAAGAGTCCTCACACCACCCCTGAGGCCCATTTCTGGTCCCCTTTGAGTCCATGGGCCCCAGGTTCTGAATAGTGGAAACCTGTAGATTACCTGCAAG